ATCACCAGTATCCACCTCCAACATTGTGGATCAACATAATAAAACAGGAGGCATTACTTTCGGAGCAGCCCACATTGCTGAGAAGATGGAGAGGTTTTTTTTTATTATTTTCTTCAGATTTTTTTATTGTAAAAATATTTTGGTTCTATACTCCTTAGGCCAGTTATAAATTCAGCTGAATTATTTTGTAGCAGCAGTACATCTGAATATAACACATGAAGTAAAGAGAGGAAAGAATGATTCTGAAAATAGAAAAAAAAATATTTTGAAAGGTACTTCACAGACTGTATACAACACTATTGTAATTACATGTGATTAGATGGATAAGATCTCTCCTGATGAAAACAGAAGTTTTTCATTAAGAATATGACATGCTATGGAGAGGGAAACACAACTCAGTCTGACAGCTCATCCCATAGATGAGGGAGACGATATTATTCAACTGTATGAAACTACATCTGTAAACAGTGACATTAAAATTTCTTATGGTACTGAGGAGAAGTTAACTAGCCTAACAACTAGCCTAGTATATAGCCTTCTTAACTTTATTGACTTTGACATAACTGGATGCCAGCCACTGAGTCATTTCTTTAACTTTCTCTGTATGTGCATATGTGGGCATTTCTCTGTGTCTATATCTATCCAAACAGCACTTGTACTATAAGTATTATGAAATCCTATGTATTTCAAAGTAGTGCAGTCAACAGGATTAATAAAGACTGCAACAAAATTGACATTCTTTACTAGCTTAAAGCCACTTTTGTACATTTCTACTTTATTATTATGTCTGACACTTTGCACAGCATGATGGGTAATGTAACTGTGACAATATTTACAGCTGACAGAAGAAAAACTCATGGAAAATATCACTTGTTTGCAATGCTTATTCACTTAATGTCTCTCCAGAACAGGCTCCATGTTGTAATCATCTTCACACTAACAGAGAATACAGAGATTTTGAATATTGGAAGAGGCTTAACAGTCTGATTTTATAGCGAGTAAGACTTTGCAGTAGCCTGACAGGTCAAAGCATATTGCCTGTATCCAGGTGCTCGAATGTCACAGGTATGATTGCCTTGAAAATTCATAATAACTTGCAGTGCAAAAAGAGGATGGGAAAAAGAATTGGGAACATCTTGTCAGTGATCTCATTTCTTACTATTTGCTGTAGGGCTGCCCAAATCAGTCTGCCTGGGAAAGTGTAGCTGCCAGGACATGGAAAACTAAGCCTAAAAATTTGCAGAGTGGAGTAGACAGCAGATACATTTATGGAAATACTTCTTTGGTCCTTAAAGAAGGATGGTTTGATTGAAAGGTCCTGGGAAAAAGAAAAAAAAAGTATCCCCTTTATTGTAGTTGACTGCAGCTCAGCAGACAGGGTGCCACCTCCTTATCTCAAGCCCTGTATTAAAACACATTTGAGGAAAGCTAAGTGTATTCATATGTAACAGTGATTAGTCAACAATGATTAGTCATATGTAAAAGTGACTCACCATACTGGATCTACGATGTTTTACAAAGTTCAGCTCATGACCTTTTAATGTAAATATGATGCGATGCGATGGAAACATAGAAGACATCTACAATTAAGCCTTGAATTCAGTCAAGTTACTTTCAGCTGGAAGTTTGATGAGTTGTGTGAAAATAGCCGTGAGCAATGAACATGCACATGGCTGGAGAGTGCTGTGCTCTTCCCCAAGGCACAGCTTGCCCAAGCGCTTCCTCCTCAAAGCTCTGAGCACAGTTTGTAGGGTCTGCATGCTGGAATTCATCCAAGGGTGAGCTTTAAATACGATGATCTAGCTCTTCAGGGGTATTATTTTTGTTAAAGACATAAATTTCTTTAATGTTGCTACTAATATCCTCATTTACTAGAATTAATGGAAAACAAAGGCCAGAGATATGTGAATGTAGGAACTCAGGAAGTTAACAAGGTGAATATATGCATTTTTTCAAGGTGAGTTTCTCTGTGTATCTCTCTAACCTGCATACCTGCTTAAGTAATTCAGCTTAAAGTTTATCTGGGATTGTGGGGTTTTTTTTGGTGCCATCTTTCCCAAAGGAATATTTGGCATTTGAAAAGAACTTCATCTTAATGAAAATTGCTGGGCAAATTTCTGAACTTACATACACTGCTGCACACCTAAATTAACTCCATTTATGCTTTGTATAGCCTCATATTACCTGGATAAAAATGTCACTTATTGCTGTTCAGCTAAGAGCTTGACTTTTTCTTTTATGCAGGTTAATGAAAGTTTTTTCAGTGAGTATGGGAAGATGTTATTTTAAGCCCAAATACAAAAATACTTAAAATGAGTGTCTAAAGCTGCTTTGTCCTCATAATATAGGAATCACTTTTCATGGTTCAATCTCAGTTATTTGCAGTTACAGCCACATTTACATCACAGCATTGGTGATGTGTCCTCGCCCAATACTCATAACTTGCTCCAGACTACTGAGGGAACTTGCATCGTCTTGCTATTCATTTTGTTACTGGAATAGTATCATTTTCAGCAAGATCTCTGAAAGTAATAGCATGTGCACATTCATGAATTTAAGCTATCATGCTTTCCCAAAACATAATTAATTATACTGATACTATTTTGTTTATGTTCTTCATTGCTACAGCATTTTTAAAGGAGCAGAACAATGTCATACAAGTGACAGCTGTTCATGCATCACTGATACTTGTAGGACTAGCAGTTTTACCTAAATACATAGTTGATTAATGGCATTTAGATTAAGTGAAACTGAGTGAAAAGAAGAGGTTAATGCAATCTAGTGATCAAAAGTCTCTCTTAGACCGTAATTTATTAGCAATCTATATTGATATTTTTTTCTATTACCTTAGTTACTATTTCACTGCATCTGTATTGAAACTTATGGGTTTAAATTTCCTATAACTGAAATCACATCCTGATAAACACTTACCTTTGGAAATGAGAGAGTTGATGTACAAAGTAGAGGTACTGCTGAGAAGTAGAGGAACTGATAGGCTCCCAACAGTACCTCAACCAAAGAGAATGCTTTTCCTGGGTTAAATGTTTTGTATGATGACATGATAGACTGAGTGCTTTTCATTTGTGAACAGAATTTTGGCAACCAGGAAAGAGCAGTTAGAGATCTGATGACAGAGCACTTCTTTGGGATGGTGCTTTTCAGCCACTGGTTGCTCACAGCTTGCAGCTGCAGCCTTTAAAGGTGGAGAGCAGAAGCCTACTTCTTCAGCACTCAGATTTGCTGAGGAGAGGGTAGAGAGGAGTTTTAGTCTCATGTAGGCACAGAAATTGTTGGTAACCTTGAAGGCATGTTTTTTTTCTGTTTTTATTTTTTGTTTTGTTTTCTGTTGTTGCTTTGTTTCCCTTCTTAATTTGAGCATTTACTTTGTGGGTTGAATTGAGATATTTTCTTTACCTGGTGTGAAATCCTAAGCCTCCAGAAAAGGCTTCTCTTGTCTACTATCTTGTGTCTGCATTTATGACAAATGGATAACCCACAGAGTGGCAGGGTAGGCGCTTGTGTTACTTCACTCCTCTTTCTCAAGAAAACTTTCTTCAAAGAAAGTTTTGTTTTTTCAAAGAAACTTTTCTTTCAAAGAAAACTTTCCTCCCACTTTCTCAAGAAGCTTTCTTCAAAGATGCCTTTGAAATTCCCTCCCACCACTTCCAATGAAATAGTTAAATATAATGAAATAATTATTACTTTCCTTTCTATCGATGTGGAAAAACACCTTTTTCAATAACAAAACCAATAGCTTTTCCGGTTTCAGAACAAAATGTTTTGATTTTTCATTTTAAGTGTCTGCTTCTGATGAAATTTCTTTTGTCTTTATAATTAAAATAGCTGCGAAATTGAAAAGCATATGCCAGTATATGTTTTCTGGAAGGAAAGATATCCTATTCAGACTGTCACGACTGTGACATTTTTTAGCAGGAAATACTGAAATACTTATTTACATTCCAAAATGTGAAGAAGAAAATCAAAATGGAAAAACTTTATTTGCCTCAACTCCTTTGTATAGGTGGGATTTTCTAGCATAGACTTTGAGCTCTTCCTGACGCAGCAACTTGAGGCTTGTAAAAATACTGTCAAAGTTGAGTAATGTAATTCTTCACATTCTTTTTCCTTATGATTGATTTGGCCATATGACAGTAAAATGACACTGTATTTAGAGAAGAAAAGCAATAATGACAACAGGAAAAAAAAAAAGGCATTGAGGGAGGGGAAAAAAATCACTGTTTGGAGATTTGTTGACCAACAAAGCTTTAAGTTTAGTTATACTGCAGCTGCTCTTTGGCATTTTGCTCTTCCTATTACACTGACTGCTCTTTTTCAAACAATGAAAACTATATCTCTAAAACTGTATTTCATTGTAGACCTAATTTTTCTAAATCTCCCTGGCCTTGGAATAGGTAGAAAGCACAGGTAGAGAGCCCAGGTAGAGGTAGAGGTAGAAAAAGCACAGGTAGAGAGACTGAGGGAGAGCATCCAGCAGTCAGGGCTGTGCTGATTGAGCTGCCAGGTGCGTACAATAACCTTGGAACCTGGCCCACTGCTATCAGTTGCTTTCTTCTACTATTATCCCATTGTTTTACTCCAACATTATAGATGATGTTAGAGGGAGAATCTTTAGTGTACTGTTCTGTATCCCCTGAAAATTTGATGAAATAAAAAAAAAACAACTCAGGTGGATCAGGTTTTTAGGAATTAGTAGCAATGTGATATTTATGATGGCTGAGAAGTACATTCACAGGAAACAGCATGGAATGACTGTAGAACGACTCAATATCAATAATGTCGGTTAATAAAAGTTAAACTATCTCATAGTGGGATTTTTCTTAAGTTATTATAATAGTCCCATGGCTATTGTATGGGAACTGCTGAATCATGGCCTGAACCTCTGATTGATCACCTGAGGCGAGCAATGAGTCAGCCATGGGAGCACCGGTGAAGGCAATTCTCCTGTGCTACCAGAAGGGGTGGAGCCTGGCTGTACCTCCCCTAGACCTATTTAAGAGCTGACTAGCTGTGGAGAAGGATCTCTTCTGGAGATCCTCTCTGCTGGAGTTTTGTAAGTGGGCCTGGGATGTGGGTAAGCATCCTATCTTTTCTGCTTTGGTGTAATAACTGTGTAGCCAAGCTCTCTGGTACGTCTCATAACTATAACATCTGTATTTTCATTGATTGTACAGCTATACTGCAAGTTGTAGATTAACTAAACAGTTTTCAATACCAGTACTTCATGGGGGGGAGGGAGGAAAGGGGGAAGCACAGGAGTCCAAATCTTTCTTTTTAGGGATTCAATTACAAAATATTATCTTCAGCTGTCACCTCTTGAATGTTTTTATAAATGGTTTAAAATTTGTTTTGAGGAGACTGATAACCAGAGATATGCTTGATAAATTTGCAATGAATACTTATATGATATAGTGGCCTGCAGTATTCAAAAGTAGAATGTGATGTTTCAGAGAATTCCTCAAAATGTTATATCCTGTGTCCTTAGATTTTTTTCTGTGCATGACACTGAATTTCAGTTGTCCAAGAGCTGCCTTGTGATTTATTTAAAAGGAAGTTACTTTTGTAAGTCTGTCAAGCACTCCCCTTTGTCTAGACAAACCTAGACCAAATTTTGACACTTGCAGAGACTGATACAGCTGTTCAGTCCTTTTCCAAGCAATTTTATTAATTGCAGTTTCTAAAATGGCTTGGTAGTTTTTCACTGGTGAATTTCTAACTTGAGAGTAAGTTGTATCCTTCTATTTGCTCTGATTTTGTCAATCATTTTCTGAACTACAACAGAATATTCACTCTTCTTACATGATTACTTTCCTTTCCTAATTGGTTCCTCAGGAAATACTTTTTTAATTAAGTACTTCAGCTTTCAAGTGAACTTATTTACCAAATGGTCTTCATCATCCATTGTTTAACACTCTTGACGCATTACAATAGACTAGAGACAAACAATTTTCCTTAATAAAAGCCCTGGCAGCTTGGTCTCATAGAATTCTCATTTTGGTGATTTTATACTTTTGTCTTAATTATCCTTCCAGAAACTTTTCTGAAGATTTGTAGTTTACAACTCAGAATTCCCCTGTTTCATTTTTTGGATGGAAAGGACAATATTTGCTACCCAGCCATTCTGTGATTATTTTTTTTAATGAGATTTTCTGTCTTCTGTATTCTTTGTTAAAAACTGCAGCTTTGCTTCTAAGAGATCTCCTGGAGGGATGCCATCAGTCAGGTGACATGCTGCTCTTTAATTTATCAGTTTAATTTTCCTACTCTTCTTATTTTGACAGCTCAGCCTGACATAGACTGTGCTTTATTTCCTGATAAGAGCAGGGCTTGGGTAGGTATCTCCACTGTATTTGATATTGTAATGCTATTTTTAATGGCTACAACTAAATGTCTTTCAGCTTTTCTTTTTGTTTGGGTTATAGCCAGGTGTTATATTCTGTTAAATTCTTCTATGGCCATATTTCCTGAAAAAATCTATTTTGAGATAACACCCTGCCAGGCAGTCTACTTAACTGGTTTCTGCTTCAGAGTTGTTGGCATTCATGTACGGGCATGCAGGGTTGTGATGGGATTTTGCTGGGGCTTTTGGTTGGTCTTTTTCTCCCTCCCAAGTACAGAGAATATGACTCTTATTGAACTCCCTTTCATAATAGCTGCAACCTGACCCTGTTTAGTTCTTTCCAAGTTTCAAAGCTGTCCTCTCTGGGACACAGAGCTACTTTTTTGATTTTGACATCTCTTGCATATGTTTGCCTGACTCGAGCTCTGCTTGGCACATGTCAAACTTTCCCTTGCTTTGGGTGAGCCTCAGAACTTGTAAATATTCTGTGCCAGCAATCTGGTTCCACTTTGGGTTAAGTTGGAGACTGTTCCATTTAGGCACTCTTCACATATGTTCACTGAAGTCTAAGCCTTAAAATCTGTCCTGTATGCCACCTGTCCAAATGTCCACTGGTTCTGTGTGGGATATTTGGTGTAACTTCGTTGATTCATGACTCTGAAGCAGAAGCCCTGTCATGGGAACAGTAGGCTAAAGTCTTTTCTCCAACAATGTGATTGTACGTGTACGTTCTGAGGCCTCTGAATCTCACTTCTCATGATACATTATGCTGTCGTGGTGTTCTCTCTGCTCTGAAACATTTTAAAAATGCTTTGTCATTCTTTGAAACGTGTTTACATTATTTAATATCAAAGGTTTAAATAACTAATGTATTAATAACATTCTGAAATGTCCAAATAGAAAATAATTGTGCAAAGATCAACTTTTAATGAGAAAGTAAAATTTATGTCTATAGCCTGTGTGAAAACAAGACTGCATCATTTCCTGCAAAACCTATGACTGTATAGGGAGATTGTCACTTATCCCAACACAGACTGTGCAAAGATCAATGTTTACCCTCCTCTGAATCACATATAAAACAAATGATGTGAAGAGAAGATTCACCATCTATTTAAAAACACTGGTTTCTATTTTGGACATAACACGTAAAATTTCTGTTTAGCAATTTCAGTTAATTGTTAGATTAACATTTTTGGGAACAGATTGCAAACTTCAAAATGGAAAAGATCATTTTAGGGAGGGAACCAAGGCAGCTGTCAGTGAGTGAAAATTAACATAAATTTGCATAACAGATGTACAGTAAGGTGTCTATGACAGACAATCGCTGAATATTAATGATACAGACCACGACATCATTTGCGTAAATGCTGTCTGCTGGGTATTGAAGCTGCTGCGCTATTTGCAGAAGACAAAGGAGTGCAGAGCTGAACAGATGCACCAAATACATCGATGCATCTTAATTTATGACATCCTCATGAAAGACCTTGTGGTGCGATTTCAGGTTTTATTACAAATAATTTGGAGATAAAGGAACTAAGTAATTATCTTTTCCACTACAGTCAGTTCTTTCAAAGGAAAGGGAAGCTTACTTGTGACAACCATTGTGATGATTTTTTTGTTTTGTTTTGTTTTTTTTTGTAAAAGCCTCTTTAAAAAAGAAAGACCCCCATTACAAAGAGTCAAATATTCATCATTATTAAAAGATTAGCGCGTATTAGCATGCTTCATGGGACTTGCCACCTAACGTACCATCACCACAACTGGAGTCCTCCAACAGGCAATGCATTTAAATGACTCTGGAAGGGGCAAAACTGCAGGGAAAAAAAGTAAAGCTGATAAAGACTAGGAGAAAGAGAATTTGATACAATTTTCTTAGATAAACCTTAGCTATAGTTTGCTTTCAATCAATGGCCTTAGTCTTGTTAGAAACTCCAGGTTCCTCAAAGATTTAGAGATATCCACTTCATATAGAATATTCTTATTACACTATTTCTCCAGCTAGAGAAAGTGATGGGAGGTATATTTTGATAACAGGAAAAGGCAGAATAATTTAGGCTCTGGCTGTATAATGCAGTAAAGTTAACAAGTAAGGAAGGGATGAAAATAAAATACAAACACAAATCTAGACTTGTGTGCCATGTTTAAAGAATATCATGCAAGGTAGGGATGCTTCTCTGTTATTAATTTCTTTGGGCCTTAATGGATTCCTCTCCAAGCCCGTGCTACCATGAGAAAATGAATTGCATCAGTTGGTAGCACATACAGGGTTTTTATGTGCATAGTGTTCAATTTCATTCTTGTCAGCTAATCAGCAGCAGCCAGACTTTTTATTTCAAGGGATTTCCTTTTCCCATCTGAACGGAGAATATAGCCCAGCAATCATTCTGCCGAGGCACTATGCGAGCTGTTATTTCCACCTGCTTTTTCCTCAGAATCTCTATCAAATCCTTAATCCAGTAACCTGATAAAAATCCTTTCAAGGTCCTGCAGGGTCCATTGTGAAATTGTTCCTCTGAATGGTTTGTGAAATAATGTGGAAGTTACTGTATCCCAAAAAGTGCCATATGGTGATTATTTTAATGGATGCTTACTGTATGCCCAGAAGGCAGTTAACATGTAATTTCACATTTTGTGTGAAAGAATGGAATAACTGCAATCTGACACTCTTCTGTCCGATTTTGCACCCAATGTCTTTTTCAGACATGCAGCTTTATTCTGTGTTTCAGTACACTAACAGCGGGTGATAAGCTGATGACCAGATATGCTAACAAGAGTTAATGCAGATAATCTCCCCTTTTTTAGCATTTCTCATGAATCCCCACTCAAAATTTAGTTATGTAGAGTGATGCAGGGCTGGGTAAGGAAGGACATCAATGGTTATCTCTCGTGTTTTATCTCATCTTGGCTGTGGATGGTTTGGCTTTGTTTAGCTGGAGTAAGGTTTTATAGACCTGTAGGTAAGTAAACTATTTTGTTTTCTTCCCACAGCTTCTGAGCCTTCTTGACCAACTTTAGCTGCCACTGATAGGCAAGATGGGCCTTGAAAATAGCTGAGGCCTCATAGAAGAGAAAGAGACCTCTTCAGGGAGAACTAGTCTGGGACTCTTCCATGATTTACTGTTTGGCTTGCCAGCAGCCAGCTGGCAGGGTCTCCTGAGCACGTGCAAGCACATAGCTTGCAGTGAAATTTTGTTTGCCTGGCTCATGAGGGATAGGTGCTATAGAGGTATGGGTCATCTGAAACCTCAGTGGAGCAGGTAAAATAAGGTTATTACAGTGGGATTCCTAGAGGAAACTTGTAGGGAGAGCATTTAGATACATACAAGCTGTTTGCATTAGCCCTCCCCTTTCTACACTCATTTGGACTCAGTTGCACTCAATGTGCAGCTGTCTTAGCAGGAACTGGCAATCATCACTGGGGAGAAACCTACTGCTCTTTTGCTGAGGCCTCCAGGTTGCTCTGCTGAAATATTACCTTCTCATTGGACTGGGTAGACTCTGGGCAGAGGTGAAAGAGTAACATGACAGCCGGGGCACTCTGAACCTCACAGGGAGGTATTGTAAAAGTATTGCTGCCCTTGTGTGGAGAACTAAGTTTGGCTTTCAGGCCAGTGAGCAGATGTCAGAGCCTGACTTTTCTAGAACCATGTAAGGTGCTAAATGCTTCTTTCTGGATCTACTCTTCTTTTTAGCAGGCACAAACAAAATTACACATGACAAGTGTCTCTGGGTTGTTTTTTTTTGTTTTGTTTTTTGTTTTTTCCAGCAAATATAAAGGTCATTAATGCAAGTAGATTGAAAGCTCATCTCCAAAAGAAAATGATCAGTATTGACTGGATAAAAGAACCATGATGCTGGATGTTATGGGGTTTTGAAGAAAGTGTGAGCCCGTGTTGAAATGAGGACAAAAAGTGTCCATAAGAGTGGTTTGTAGTTTCTGTTAATGTTTCTCCTTCATATTTGGGTTTTAGTGAAAAAATTCTCATTCAACTGCAATTATTGCTTCCAGGAAACATCCAGGATGTCTTTTTGCCTTACAATATAGCAAGTAACCATGTGAGAATAACAAACTAGTGAGAGGAACTTCTATGCTTCTGGCTATGAAGCCTGGTTCTAGTAGCATTCGCAAATGACTGCATTGTCATGGGATATAATAGGGCTTCTTTGTTGCCTGCCAAAGGGCTCCCAAAACCTGTACATCCTGTCACTGTCCATTTGCCAGCGTAACATGAAAACACTTGGCAGATAAAACATGAGAAGCTTCAGAGCTCAATTTGTTTGCTTTTAGACTATTAGAAAACCATTGACTTCATTAGATTTATTCTGAATTAAGCCTGCCATAAGTGAGAGCAAAAAACTGGTTCTGTAGGAATAATATGTATTTTATTCATTCTGTTTTCCTCTTAAAACAATTTGAGAGCCTTAGTAGAAGGAGCCGTAGGTTGATGCATAATATACCGAGCTGAAGAATAACTGAAATAGATTTATTTTTTTTCCTCTGCTGCAAGTCTCACTGGGTCACTTTTTGAAAACTGCTATAACGGATTTCAAGAAACAAATATTTTTTTTGTTCATTTGGATTCAGTGTTCAGAATGAGGTCACCTTCTGAGTGGTATCCTGCGGCTCAGGCACTCAGCAAGATGTGCCTGAGGAATGGGCTGCACAATTTAATAGCCTCTGTTTTGGATAAACAAATATCATTTTTATTTGAAATGTCATGAAAAGATCTCCTTCCATGCCTGAACAGATGGAAGCTATAGCATGGTGATATCATGTTTCCCCTTTTTTATGTGATACAGCAAGTTCCTCCTTTCAATAGTTGCATGTAAATAACAATTTACTATTGACAGTGATGAAGTTATAGTAAAGCTTCACTGCTTGCATCTTTTTATTGTATGCTCTAAGTATATTCAATGGCCCTTGTTCCCAGACTGGAGTTAAAACCCCTTGGATTGAACCTTGGGATTGGACTGGCAAAGCCAGGGGAGCATGGGTTCTGTGAGCAGGGATCCTTTTATATTTTTGTTACCCCTTGAGGAAACAAAGCCAGATTTCTGATGAGAGGCAGGAAGGATATCTTAAAGCTAAACTAGAAATATTATCCAAAATTCCTTTCCAATACAGTGCTTTAGAGCACGCTTTCTTCATCTGTAAACTCAGTAAAATAGCAGTTTGGCAGAGAAGATTTAGAACAAGTATCACAGAATAGCTAACAAAGGCAGACTGGTATCTTGTTGCTTTATTTCTCAAATTGCTCATGAAAGAAGTGGCTCTAATTTTTGGTCAAAGTGAGGATGATGTTAACATACGTTCATCTGGAGATTGTTACAGGTATAAAATTACCATGGAGGGGAAAGATGGAGGCCCTGAAAAACTTCTGTGCGTAGAGGTTTATGAATAAAAAGTAAGGAGAAAAGGCACGTCAGCATGACAAAAATGGCAGATATGTAGAAATAAGAGAGACAGGAAACCTTGTTAGGAGACCCTTTAGAGAAGAAGCAGAAATGGTATTTGGGCAGGAGAAGCATGGGAAGCTAGTACAGAACTTCAAACCAGGGAAAGCGTTCAGTGAGACGTGAGAGGAAAATGGCGTCAGAGAAACATATCCAGTGGATGAGTGGAGAGAAAATGGTGAAATGAAGGGAGAGAAGGGGAGTGAAATGTGAGAGTTACTAAAATATAATTAGTCTCCAGAGGACATAAAATGAAAAGGTGCAAAAGAGAAAACACAGTAAATTTTGGGCAAGCTGTGAGGATGCAAAGAGGAAGAGAATTTTTAGTGTGAAATTGATTAAATGCTACAGAAAACTTGGAGTTTCTTATTTAATGTAAGATTAAGTCCTAGTGAAGTAATGCCAACTCCACAGCTTCAGCAGAAGTAAATTCCAAAGAGGAAAAACAACCTGAAGTACCTTTCCAAAGCACACTAAGCAAAATTTGTGGGCAAACAGCAGTCCAAAAGCTTGGTGCATTGCATTTCTAAAAATTAGGATGTGAAATGCTGGTAAAGTGGACTGGGCCAAGATTTCTAAAACAGTGCTACTAAAAAGGGAAGGAAAAAAAAAAAAAAGAAAAAAAGAAAACTAATGAGAATGGCAAGGAAGTAAACAAAACCTTTTGAAGTAGAAAAATGTCTGGTCATACATCCTTTTACTAGAATTTCCTAGTACTAGATTTTACTACTTTCTGTTAAAGTCACAGAAGAACAGTCTGCTGCCCGAAATGTTATCCCAGTTTTGAAAAACTGATAAAGTAATAAAAAGGCAGCAATTTAGACCTAATAAATGTGGTCAAAAATCCACTAAACACCACCTACCTATCTCAAGCCTGAATTGACCTATGTTATTCCTATTAACTAGTGGAATGTTCTTGGGAATCCCTGCCAGGAATAAGAAATGCAGCCCTGACACTGGGGCATACATGTCAGAAATGCAGCTGTGTAAATAGTGAATCTTTTGTTTTGCTGGTAATTCTGAAAAGTAAAGAAAGAACGATTCTGCATTGAGCATAAAGGAAATGTTAAGGTAGAAGAATTCATATTTGGTCAAATTACTTGCTTTATATATCTATGGCAAAATTCATTGTTTAAATTGTATTTAATTACTTTTACAGTTTTAAAATGTCTGCTAGAAATTTTCTAAGCAAAATACTATTTTGAATGAAGAAAATATAAACGCTCATTTTCTTTAACTATCAACGCATCTTTTAGGAGACCTAGTTTGTGCTCAAAATACTCATATTTAATACACTTTACTGATTACTGAATTATTTTCCGCAATAAATATTTTAGCCAAAATTATTCACCAAGCTTTATATTAATCTGATGTAAATATAAATCTGACAATTTTCTACAATATTGAAACTCATAAATATTCTCATAGTAGATATTGGGGGGGGGGAAGTGATTTTTAAGACAGCCAACTAAAGGAAGATTTTGGGAACCTAGGGAAGTGTGGGTGAGGGCTCCTCACCCTGAGGGACTGATGAGACAGAGATACAATCGGTGTCAAGGCTGGAATCTGGTAGCACATAGAAGGTATAAGCTCTAAAAATTAAACCTACAGTATTTCCCATGGTCAGAAAAGTTAGATATTTAGAAGAGACTTCCATCTTCAGAAATATGAAGATTCAAACAACCTGGAAGCAGTTTTTCAGCAGATAGATACTTTTCAATTTGTTTCTGAAAGACTTCTCTCAGAAGAGCTGTAGAGACTGTTTTTCAAGTTGTATTGGATTTTCTTATGTGACAATCTTTATTTCCATGCCTTATTACCCCTTTGTCAAAAAAAAAAAGAGAAAAAATCCATTCAGCCCAAACTTCTTAGCTCAAAGCTTCTGAATTCCTCAGCAAAAGCATGACTCTGCTTGAGGTGTCTCTGGGAATTATTAAGAGCATAGGCAGATGCTAAAATGCAAGCTATGCTTGGATGACTTGGAATCAGGTGCCCCACGGCTGCTTTTCTGTCTGTACTGCCAGTCCCTGGATTGCAGTCCTCTGCCTTTTTCATCTGTGATCCTTTGGTCTACGTGCATGAACAGAAGACAAACTCAGAAGTGTAGAAGTGTACTGCAGCCTTGTGCCACTTATAAACCAAAGGAAAAAGTTAATAAAGGTTGAATTTTTAAAACAGCAAACGTGCCTGGATGAGCCTGACAATATAGCCTGACAAGATTGTAGGTTTTTTTCCTAACTATAATTAATTTCAGAACTGTTTGTGAAATATAGATTTCCAACTACCTTTAAGACATGCTAGGAATTAAATCTTGCTTCTAATTGATACCTTGATTGTGGTGACTTCTTAATGAGGAATTAAGGAGTATTTTCAATTTATATTTCATAAATTCTTCATGAGTTCCTCTCTTCTTTTTTTTTTTTATGGTCTGCTTCTGTCAGTCTTTCAGTGTTTATCCTTGATTTTTTCTTCTCTGTGCACAATACGCAAAGATCTCTAGGTGACACTCATATTCTTTGAGTTGTTCTCTATGATGTGCAGGTGATGCATTTCCAAGGTCATGGTCCTTGTTGAAAAGAAGGAGAAAGGTGAAGGGCAGAAAATGATTTGAGTAACTAATTGCTGCAGATTCTGTTGAAACTAAAGCTTTTACTGAATAAGAATCTTTTCTTTATAATATGGAGAGTATACTTATGCTGGTGTTGCCAGATTTAATCTATTGTTTTGAGAAATATAACAGAGAAATACAGATGTTGTGAATCACGGGCTGACAAATATCAGAACCTGGCAAATTAATGTCATTGGTAAAAAAATACTTGTAGAGATTTTCTCTCTTAAATTGAAATGTTGGCAAGAAAGGTATAAATTTCTGTGGATTAATTCATATTTATATTACGTAAGTATTTCAAAGAAGTCCATATCTAAAATTAAAAAAAAAAAAAAAAAAAACCACAAAGATTTAAAAATATAAATAGTAAAATTAGAAAGGTGGGTGAATACAAATTCTCAGTAAATTATCCCTACCTGGTCATATAATTTGAAATCATTAAACAATTTTTTTTTTGTTATTCTGAAAATGTAGATTTTTAAAAATCTGTGATTACTGGGGGAAGAAAAGACAGTAGTATGTTCTCAAGTTTAGTATCTTCTTTATTTCAACCCCAGGCTTTTGAGTTACTGGCCCTTGGAAGTTAATAAGCAACAAATAATAGACATGAAATGGAAAGTTCACTGCTGTGTAAAATTGACTGATTGTACTTCTTGAGGTGTCCTTGT